TCAAAAAAGTTTTCAGAATATGAAAAATCCATAGGTAAAGCTTTCAATGAAACAGAATTTAGAATTCATAATTTAGAGTCTTTTGTAGGAGACATGAAAAATAAAATTCTCAGTAGTGAACAGAATCAGGGAAGTATAATGATTAAAATGTTATTTAGACAATTCAAAAATCTGAAACATAATATCCAACTGGTTAGGACTATTAAGAGACAAGGAATTTTGAACTCCTGCCACCATCATCATATTCCCATCGCTATCCTAAATCCCTCTATTTTATATCATGACCTTTCAAAATTGCAAACAGAAATAAATGATGCGGGTCAACATTTAGCCATACCTATTTCAGATATTTCAAAATATTATCAACTCCCAATTTGCGACTGTTCATTTACAGATAATAACATTCTGGTACATATAAGAGTACCGATAATTCAAAAATCCCAGTCATGGCAACTTCTTGAACTCATAACAACTCCATTTTCTTGGCAAAATCAAACCTGTTCTATTCAGCACGAAACAATTTTTTTGGCAGTTGCTAAAGACACTTCAAGTAATATTGGTCACAAACAAATTAGACAAATCTCAGGATCAGGTCTCCGCCACTGTAGGCCTTTTGATGATAAATTATGTTATATACCTAGGTTCTCAGCTGACACTTTTCAAGGGCCCGCATGTGCTAAGAAATTATACAATGGTGCCACAGTTAGTGAACTAAATAATGTTTGCCCTATGCAATGCCATAAGTCAAATTCATTATCTATTTCGGAAATTGAAGAAGAGACCTATATACTAACCTACCCCAAACCAACTACAAAAATTATGTGCCCTAATATAACCACCCCTCTTCCTGATTCCGCATACTATCACCCAGGAGCAGTCAAAATACGTGTCCCGTGTAATTGTAAACTCATGATGAATGAAGAAGAAATGATTCCTCAAAGATTTCCGTGCCCAGAGGCAAATATTCCCGAAGCTAGTATCATACATATAATTCCTGCAGCATGGACGAATCTTCAATCATTTATTCTCAATCCGAATTTGGCGAACCCTCCTCAGTATCAAAATTTTACGGAAACTTTAAATTACAACTGGACTCTGAACATACCACATTTGAATCTGACAACTACGCATGACACGATAAACGAAGTAGTAGACAATGTCAGGGAACATATCAAATACATTTATTCTAATACTTACGGACTTCATAGCGACTCAATATTTTTAGTATGGAATTCCATCATGTCAATCATCATAGTTTACCTAATATTCCGAGCTCCGAATCAATTAGCACTCCTACCAAATTTATTCACTCGGGTTCATGCAAAAACCTCAGCACCAATAGAACACGATATATTCTTTGGTGTTTTATGTGCAACCTTACTTATGTTCATTATATATATATTTCACTTAAAACTCTCTGGACTTGGTGCATCCTCCAGAAGAAACGTAAAACAAACGAAACAAAGTCAGCAAACAAATCAAGATCTGAAAGAAGTAATACACGTGGGGAATATCGAATCGAGTTAGACGAACAAAGTATGAATTTGCGACCTGGACAACATTTGAAATGTACAATTTATAGAATCACAGACGATGAAGAGGGGGTTGATCAAGATGATTGATAATGTTTTGTTTGCATATCAATGAGAATCTGAATCGTTGATAATAGTCTAAAATAGTTGAAAAAGAAGGATAGAAAAGTAAAAGGGTTGAGGGAAAAGCCGGAAACGTGGTATTTTGATGATCATTTAGGTTTCCAAAAAGAATTTACAAATTAGGTGTTCCTTGCGGTCTACTCCTAATGGATGCCATATAGTCAAAGGGCCCTGACTGCACCCATTAGAACTACACCAAAAGATGACAACTAAGTACTAGAGTACTAAGTTGGGTAGAAATACGCTAGTTCATAAATGTATCCTTTTGGTACTTATATGATGAAATCTGGCGAATTTCTACAGAATTGAGTTCAAAATACTGATAAAAAATAGAAAAAAAAAAAAAAAACTATATGAATGATTCATGTTGAGAATCGCTCGAGTTATTTGTCAATTGCAAATAACTCGTTATTTTCCTCATGAATTCAGATTAATGAGAAATTACTGAAATTAGGAAAATTGTCAAAATATGTAGTGAGAAAAGAAGAAATGTTCAAATGCTCATACTAGGTAGCAAAATAATGAATTTATAATTTTTGTTGTTGTTATATATGCTGCCAGGTTACTGAATGTAATAATTATATCTGTTTTGAAAACATCGAACGAAGACCAAGTTGATTGTAGAGGATATTTTTATTTTTTTTCTGAGAACCTGTACTGATCTTTAATAGAATGCAATAGCAAGGGTAGATAGGGTTAGTTGAAGAAATAAAAAGGGGTGTAATTGATCAATTGCCACATAGAGATATTTATGTAAGTTGTTAATCACATCAAACAAGAGAAACTTCGATTGAAAAGTTACAAAATTTTTTCTCCTAAGAACTTACTTGGTGTATATTTCCTGTTACATGTTCAACAAGAGATGAGCCATCACAACGGATTCTGGGACACACACTCACGAAGGAGAGAGCCTAAGGAGATGAAGCCAATGCATCCTATGCTCATATCTCCATGCCACGCCCAGGGTTCCCATACTGCTAATGGGAGATCTAAGAAGTGACCATGCAAGGACAACACAGAAAACCTCTGTTTGCTGAGACGGAAACCCACCCAGTCGTTTATACTTTGGGAAGTATAATCGTACGGATATGGCATCTGCGTGAAGTTCAATAACCTGGTTGATGAGTCTGCGAAGAAGACGGAAAAAGGGACAGTGGTACCTTCATACCTTACGAAAATCCTGTAGGGTGGCCCGCTGCTCACCAGGAGTCAGACCACCTTCACAACCTACGAGACACAAAGCGTCAAGTCGCAGCAATGTAGAAGTTACCAGCAGACCAAGTAATCCACATTGATCATGTGGAGATCATGTTCCTCAGCAAGGCACTTCACTGCGGTTCCCAGGACTCCCATCGATGAGGAACCAAGAAGGCAAAGAGTATACTTTGGAGACGTCGGAGGCTTATTATATTATATTATATTATAATATTTCTTGTGACTGTTGTAAGTGGACAGGGCTGGACTTAGTTTTTTGAGCCCCTTGACTTATCTTGTGAGTGGACAGAGCGGGACTCAATTTTTCAAGCCCCTTGACTTATGTTGTGATGGACTCAAATGAAAGACATTAGTTTTTTTTTTTATATTATCATTTTTTTTATTATTCATTGATAGACCTTGGTTTTCATTCATTGATTTTTTTTCCTTTTTTTTTCATCTGCTCTCAATTGTTTAGGTAACCTCAAAGCTGAGGGGCCAGCTTTTCCATGGTGGGGGGAAATATGTCAAGATATAATGATCATTCGTATTTTATTCAGTTATTTTAAATTCCAATTTTTAGTCTTTTCCCAGTAAATATATTATTCATAGCTAATTTTACATTTCCGGAAGACAGTTCAGTCGATCGTAGTTGCCAGGAAATCAGGAATCCAATTTCAATCAGTATTATTTTGATTTGCAATCTTTTTACCAGGTCGCTGGCACCTATGATCGGGTAAATTATCGCTGACGGAGTATTTTTCGAAACAAGGAATATCGAGTTTGATGAAAAAGCCGGCATTACGATTAGGGATCGCGAGTAGTGCGATCACGCGTTTCATTCTTGAAGTAAGTTTAGTTTTTCGACACACCGCGCCCCTCGAGTTCCACCCCCATGGAGAAGCACGCTCTCTGGTGAGTACATGATTTCTATGTTATATTTATGTTTCATTTTTATATTTCCTCATATACTATGTGTTCTGGATATTTTGTCTCGTTGACGCTCGACATCTTTTGTTTTTGTATTTTTCACTCATTTTTGTAGTCTCTCAATTTACACCCCAATGTGAGCTTATGATTGAATAAAAATTCATGAATTTGTTAAGTTGAATCTAGCCCCATTATTCTGCTGCCAAGCGAGTAACCCCTCACTGGTCATAGGTTTTAATGTCTCGGGAAGGATTATGGGTACTTACAATTCTACCCCTAGAGATTTAAACGTGACAATACTGCGTTCTCTTCTAGAATTCTCATTTCTCCCCAGGAAACTAAGAACTCACGGCGCAGGCAGGTCAATGCTGTCAATGAAGACCTTGCCGAAATCACAGCCTGGGGAACCAACAACCTGGTTGAATTCAACGCCACCAAAACTCAAGCCTGTATTTTCTCTAGAAAGGCGGAACTCAGTATGCCCGACATTGTAATGTCTGGCACCACCATATCCACCAAGCCCACAATATCTATGCTCGGTATTTCCCCAACAGCTTCTCATGATCTACAAAGCGCAGATACGGCCTGTTCTAGAATACTGTTCCCACATATGGGGTTCAGCATCAAAACATACGCTGATGCTCTTAGATTCCATCCAGAGAAGAGCCATCCGCCTGGTGGGTGACGCCACACTCACTCACTCTTTGACATCATTGGAACACCGTAGAAAGATCGGCGACCTTTCACTTTTCTATCGATACTTCCACGGGAAATGTGCTTCGGAAATCTCTTCTATCATCCCTTCACTAGCAATACCAGTCAGACGAACTAGACAAGCCCAGTCAGCACATCCTTTCGTTGTCAACCTCGAGAGATGTCGAACTTTATCAAAACTTCTCCATCCATAGAACGGCTAGGCTCTGGAATTCATTGCCTGAGGAAGTATTCCCAACAACATAATCTCCAGAAGTTCGAAAAAAATTCCAATACCTACCTCCTATCCCTATCCTCCCTAGGAACGCACGATGTTCTTTGAACATTATAGGGATTCCCTTTCGTGCGCTCCAAGCGATAAAAAAAAGTGGAAGGCTCTCCATCTACCATTCCGTTCATTTTCAAACGTCTCGTCTACATGTGGAAAAGAATGAGATCTTTCTCTCAACGTGATATTTCTTGTTAATAATAGATGTCAGGAGGTGAAACAATAATTAATATAGTCACCCTGAAATATTCTTGGCTTGGTCGTGGTATTCTTGATGGAAGATGGAGTGATACCTGAAAATCAAAAGAAAAACATTTCATTCTGTCCTGATTAATTAGAATAGAACAGAAGAGTCATTCATCTAAGGGACCATTTCACATTGGTAGAGAAAAAGGCAACAACACAAAACCATGAAAAGTCATGAATATAAATGGGTTTAGTTCACCGACGTATATATATATCTGGAAGTGTTACACTTCTCGAAAATTCATCGTTTCTTCGAATTTAACCGAATTTAGATTCAATAAAAATTTTTTCAAACATTTTGTGTACCTAATTGATATTTTTTCCTGCAGAGTAGAATATGTATTTCATCGATATAAAATACCAAATGGGATCTTATTCATGTGATGAAAAATGTGACCCAGTAGAATTCACAAAACGAATTATTTACTGTAATATCCCACTTCGACTTTTTGAGCGAGAAAAAGAAAATGTGTGAATAGAATATTCGTTCAAATAGATTCAAAAAAGTTCTTTATCTTCACCTCATTTATCGATACTTCACAGTCCATATCACTACATGGTATCCTTTTTTTTTTTAGTGCGGTTGACCGATGTGGTGCAGTTACATTTTTTATTCTTGTTATTATCATGTTCTAAGTAGCGTTGCTACATTATTGTTATTTGACGGCTAATTAATCAACATAATTATGCTGAATTGGCAATTGGTGTATTCCTTTCTGTTTATCTTATGATGTTTCCGTTCAACAATTTGGTGAAACAGCTGCTTTTTCAAATGTTTAATCTACTGATGAAATGACAACTGACAGCAACGCAGCTCCTGCTTAATTTCATTATGAAGAGTTATTTCAAACTCCAAAGAAGAGTACTCCACGTGACCGTGTTCGCTAAAAACATATCGTAGGAAAAGTAAAATAGTAATTTACATCACACAGATCCTAGAGCGAATGTTAAACAAAATACCACTGAAGTGAATCTGAAAATTCTTGTTGATTTCGAAGCTGAATCTGCCGACATGGAAGGTATGGTCAGCTGTTTACTCTGAGAAAATGCACCCATTCCACTCCATGCAAGTACTCAAGGAAGGAGACTCAGTTCGTAGAAGCTTTTTTTGTTGATTCATCTTACATGGCGACATAGTCGATGCAACATTTTCACGTAGGATTTTGTGGACGGATGACGCCAACTAGCCTCGTGAAGGGATCAACAACTTTCATAACCTGTATTATTGGGCAAAAGGAAACCTCCAAATGAAGAAACAAACTTCGTTCCAATTGAAATTTAATGTGAACGTGCGTTGGCAGGTATAGTGGACATAGATTTAATAGGTCCTTATTCTCTCCACACAATTCAAATGGTGAAAACTATCTGAGAAGTTTGAATAGATAATCCACCAGATATTTTGGATGGCGTGCCTTGGGATGTAGGAAAACCACGGATGTAATGCCAGATATACTGTCAGATTCTCATGATCAATTATTAATAATCTTCACTCTGAATAATGGATAGGGCGAAATGGACCGATATTGGTCAGTTAGATCTCCAGACCTGATCCCCCTTGACCATCATGTCTGGGAACGAATGAAGGAACTTGTTACAGTACCTGCATATAATTATGATATTTTCTTTTGTTTTCATTTTTTAAAGAAATTATTATTTTTTATATAAATAATTACGTTAAGTCTGCTTCTGTTATGACGTCATTTAAAAGGGCCAATAGCACGGATGTTTTCAAAGATATTTGAATAAATATTTGATTCGCATACTTCTTATTCGCTTATAAAGTCAAATTAAGATGTCAGTAAATTATTTTTTATTTCTAATGACTATTCCACTCTTGATCTCGAGAACCAATCACAATCGACCATTTTCACGGTTTCTTCTGTATTCTAGCGATATTTTTTGTTTATTAAATTTTATCGGACTTGCTCTACCAATACAGAAGCCGAATTGACCCACACGTGACCAACAAACCCCGTTTATCAGCGATAAAATTTTGACATCGTGTCTGGTCAAGATTGCTTTGTATTCAAATCTGACACAAGAGACAATAACCTTCATTTTATTTACTTATAATTCGCGTTAGTTAGACATTTTGTACGAAAGGCGAGACAATTTCATTCTGGCTGGACGTTTCATGTGTAATTTAATAAGTTTGCATATTTGTTGACGGTCTGACAACAATACTAGAATTCAAATTCCCATTTGAAGTAATCTTCTTCAGTCACTCAAGTTATTGTGCCCGTCGGCGACAATAATTTTTTTTTTAAATTATTTCATGTCACATAAATTCAATTTATTTTGTTCGAATTGGATAGCAAATGTATACACTCTTTTGAGAGCAACCATCTCCAAGATAATAAACAAAATACTGTTCATCAAAATTGTACATTCCACTTTGTGAATTACTATAAGTATGTAGTTAATTTCTAATAGTTATTTATTATACAAGGGAAAAAAGTAGTAGATTTTAGCTCCAGGTTGTGTTGTCTCCCGACGCGTAGCGGAGGGAGACAAAAAACCGTGAGCTAAAATCTAATATTTTTCCCGTGTATAATACACTTTTTTTTGTTCTGTGGCAGAAGGAAGGACGAATCAATATTGAGGAGATATTACATTATTTCGAAATCTGAAAATTATCGACGTGAAATTTCAAGTTTTTAACAGTAGGGACACCTGCGTTTTATAGACATCTTTATCATTCTTTTGAAGTAATCAAATATCTGATGTCACTTCTGTCAGTTCAATTCTGTGATTTGATTTTGAAAAATTGCGAATTCAGTAGTTGTTTAGTAATATACGAAACCGCGAAGTCGAATGGAAGATAAAAGGACTTGCAGTTCTTTCTCGGAGACGGTATTATTGACTCATTTTTCGGAACTATAGCACAACAAAAGCCATTAACAGAGTATATATATGTGATATATATCCGGGAAAGAAGTACTCACTTTTTTCCCACGGGAAAAAAGTAATTTATGAAAAGTGACATTTTATAACCTGCCAACAGAGATGAAATGCCAAACTTTTTTCCCGTCACAGAAAAAAAAATTGAATTCTGTATTTCATTACTATCATTATGTTCTTCTTCGCAGTTTGAGTTGGAATATACTTGAATTATGTTTCCTATTTCTTATATATATTGTCTCATTCAATCATGAAATAGTCATACGAATACAACTCGTGATACTATTTTTCCTGGAAATATTCGTCGATTGACATACTCCAGCCTGCTGCTCTAATTTCGCTCATGACATTGATCCAAAACTACTCGCCTACGGCTCGTAGTTTTGATAACAATGTCATTCACGAAATTACTAGGCAACAAGCTGTCGTAACAATCACCGAATATTTCCGGCAAAATATTATCACTTGTGGTATTATATATGAAAATTTTTTATCACATGTAGATCCCAATATGTGTTCAATTTCAATTGGATACGTATTCAACTTGATAAAGGAAAAAATTATACATGTTTGACAATACATTTATTTCAACTTACAGGGACCTATTCATCAAATTCGGTGAAATTTGGAAAAACGATTATTATAATAAATACAGGGAGGCCCACGGTCGATGGTACCTTAGACGTATACGGAAAACGGTACATTGGATTATCCTGAAAATTTGGTTACTCTAATAAGCGTTTGTGATCTAACGATTCAAAAGATTTCCAGCGAAGCAGCGTTGCCACTTTTACCTAAAAGTAGCATCCTCTTTGTTATTTCGAATGGAACACCCTCTATTTTATTGCGTTTTTAGATTCTTCTCGAAGAGCTGATTTCATCAATGTATCACACTTGGGGTCTAGCAGGAATTATTACAGAGATATAGGGTGTTCAAAATCGAGATTTTTCAACTTTAGGATTTTTTTGTGTCGAAACTATTCATCATTGGTCAAAACGGCTTACATGTCCCTATATTGACTTTTGATTAACTATCTACCGACATTTAATTGGAAAAAATACAGGATGGTCCAAGATTCAGAATTTTGATCACCCTGTATCTGTTCCAATTAAATGTCAGTAGATAGTGAATCAAAAGTTAAGATAGGGACATGTGAGCCGTTTTGATCGATAATGAATAGTTTCGACACAAGAAATTCCTGAAATTGAAAAATCTCGATTTTGAACGCCCTATATCTCTGTAATAATTCCTGCTAGACCCCAAGTGTAATACATTGATGAAATCAACTCTTCGAGAAGAATCTAAAAACGCAATGAAATACAGGGTGTTCCATTTGAAATAACAAAGATGATGCTACTTTTTGGTTGAAGTGGCAACGCTGCATCGCTGAAAATATTTTGAATCGTTAGATCACAAACGCTTATTAGAGTAACCAAATTTTCAGGATAATCCAATGTACCGTTTTCCGTATACGTCTAAGGTACCATCGACCATGGGCCACCCTGTATAATACCTATATTACCTTAATACTCCTGACAAAACTGATTTTCCTATAGGGAACCGTGTGCAATCTGTGCATGGGCATTTCAACGAAGAGAACAGCGACGTTGCCATACGCTTCGTATCGCATTAGCTCCTGCCATGCATACGTACCATATTCGAGTAGGTGGGGAAACGACCCTTACTCATTACACGTTTTCTCTATAGGAACATTATTTTTGCCAAATGAGTATGATGGTTACATGATTGTGTACAAAATTTTCCAACCTATATGTCCTTGTATTAAATATATACTTCGGTGAACCAAACGCCCTGTTTATTTACATAAAGTTTCTAGTGATAACAAACAAGTTGTACATAATAAAATAGTAGACGATATGGAAATATCAGTTTTTTTTTTATAGTTATCAATTGAAATCGTCTTTTGCTTGATGTTATTTGAATTTGATAGCGACCTGATTTCGATAAACAGACAATTGAAAAACCCGAAGCCTTTGAAAATTGATGGACTTTTGGAAACGTTCTAATTTATGCCTCATTATTCTTAATGAATCCTCAGCATTTCGTGTCGGATATATGTTCATTACTTGATATTGAAGTATCAATTTTCTTCTAATCCCGTGGAATTTTTCAATTTCAATATGATTATATATGTACAGGGTGACATAGAAAGAAGTACATTGCATAGTGCCACACAATAGAGGACACTAAAATAAGGAAAAAAGTTCCGATGAACATATTATGAGTCCGCAAGGCCTCCGGTTGAAAGATACGGGGTGTTTAATTTTGATGGAAAAATGTATTGTATGTACAAGGGCAAAAATTTGAACATCTTCTACAAACTCAAAGTTTTGTTCTAATCAATCATATTTCTCATCATACCATTAAAATTTAATCGTTGAAGTATTTATCATTGGTTTTGCAAAAGTTACTTTGGCGCTTTTTCAATAATTTGCGTGCATTGTCGGCTTTTAGATGCATTTGTACTGGAACCATTGCTTCTATAGCGACTTGGACAAGGTATACCTTGTTCAGTCGAAAATGACATACAGTGTATAGCAAAAAAGTTACGACCGATTCAATAGGGATGTAACCCTGTATGTAACGCCCTCTATCAGTCATCACAAAACTAAGATCATATTTGAATTTAGCATGATAAAAAACCCCTGTATACCACATTTTATACATTCCCTACGTCTTTGGCTAAAGATATTCAAAGAAAACCCCCAAAAAAATTTAAATTCAACACCCCGTATCTTTTAACCGAAGGACTTCCGGACCCATGTTCATAGAAACTTTTTTTATTACTTTAGTATCCTCCATTAATTGTGTGGCACTATGCAATGTACTTTTTTCTATGTCACTCTGTATATAACAACAGAATATTTATATAGGCCTCATAACTTACTCGAAATCCTTGGAAAGAATTTTTACATATATGATCAATGTTGGATTTGGAAGTTTTGAGATTAACCGTGAGAGAGTTCTTAACTCCCGCTAATAAAGCTCTGCGAGGATAAGTATACAATCCAGCGTTTTCTGAATATCCGTTTTCTATGGTCCAGTTTTTATATGTTAACCTTTCTGCTATGTGGTAGTTGGAGTAATGTTTTCTGAAAATAATGAATCAAATTGATCAAAAGAAGGATATTGTACCTCTGAACTAAATAGATTGAACAAGAAACAATTATTGGTTAGGTTTAGAACAACACCATTATGTATGTTTTTCCACCACTAGCTATGAAACATACCATTATTTACATCTTCTCGAGGAGTAAAGTGTGTTTTCACTACTAAAGCAGTTTTCGTCATTTTATGAACCACTTGTCAATATAGACATAGCCATCTCTGTTGAAATAAACCCGAATGCACTGTCGGATGAGAAATTCGCAGGAATGGCACTCCTATCTAGTAGGTATTTATGAATAACGAATCGTCATATATTATGCTGTCATGGTCATGGCTTATTATTGAAAATAGTGCTTTCATAGTGACAATAAGTCCATAAGTTTTTCAGTTTCACAGAACTAAAATGATTGAATCATATTGCTAGTGGTGGAAAAAATGTAATATACACCTTGGTAGTAGAAAATGATATTACCACGAGACCTTATACCCCTCGGCTGAAGCCTCTGGATATAATCTTGGTCCCAGGGTAATCAATGATATTCTTCACTACCTTGGCGTATGAATAATTATTTTATTATTTTATTGAAAAGTGTATTTTTTTCTACCAAGATAGTTTTCGTCATTTTATGAACTACTATTCAATAACTCTGTTATAATAAACACGAATTCATTGTTCTGATGCGAGATTCGCAGAATATCCCTCGAATCTAGTGGGTATTATTTATCAATAACGATTTTGTCATCACATAATGCTGCCATGGTCATGGCCTTTATAGATTTTGATTAAAATTGGAAATAAGTGCTTCCATAGTAACAATATGTCCATATTTCAGTTTCACAGAACTCTTCTGATTGGGATATATTGCTAGTGGTGAACAAAAAAATCAACATACCCCTTTGTTTATGTGAATAACTATACAGTGTGTCCCACTCACCATGCTCACCATGGGTATCTTTTTAACAGTGAGAGATACGAGGTCGGTCAAATGACACCAAATGTGGAGTTTGTCAAGGCCAACTATAATGTGAAGAAATATTTTGATAAAATCTATTCGTTTTTGTTTTATACGCAAAAAACAGATTTTGATCATTTTCATGTCTCCTCCGTAACTTCTTCATTTATGAAAATATTCAAATAGGAATTTCACATTCTCATGGCAGTTTTTCAAAGTGATTTCGAAAAAAATATGAAATTTATACCAACTCTTCTAGAATTTGAGATATCAGCACCAACTTTAGTTTTTCATATGAAGGTCATAGCTCACTTTGACTTAGTTACAAATAACTTTTTTTTCTCTTACAAATGATATGTCGCAGTGATAGTTTTTTGTTGTTAACGACGGAGTTATCGTCAATTATACAAAAATAAAAAATTATTTGGAAGTCGCTATCTTGAAATTATGAATTTTAACGAAAAAATCATGATCTCCGACCTCAAAATGCCCCACTTACCAATTTTGAATGGAATCGGACCAAATCTTGTCCGCCATCTTGGAGCAGCCATTTTTTTAATTTCAACAAAAATTCCATAATGTATTGTCACCGAAATTATGAACACCTGCTAAATTTCAAGTTAATCGGAGTTATGGAATTTTTGTTGAAATTAAACGAAATGGCTGCTCCAAGATGGCGGGCAAGATTTGGTCCGATTCCATTCAAAATTGGTAAGTGGGGGTTTTTGAGGTCGGAGATCATGATTTTTTTGTTAAAATTTATAATTTCAAGATAGCGCCTTCCAAATAATTTTTTATTTTTGTATAAATGACGATAATTCCGTTGTTATCAACACAAAACTATTACTGCGACGTATCATCTGTTAGAGAAAAAAAAGTTATCTGTAACTAAGTCAAAGTGAGCTATGACCTACATTTGAAAAACTAAAGTTGGTGCTGATATCTCGAATTCTAGAAGAGTTGGTATGAATTTCATATTTTTTTCGAAATCATTTTAAAAAACTGCCATGAGAATGTGAAATTTCTATTTGAATATTTTCATGAATAAAGAAGTTACGGAGGAGAAAATGATCAGAATCTGTTTTTTGCGTATAAAACAAGAATGAATAGATTTTATCAAAATATTTTTTCACATTATAGTTGGCCTTGACAAACTCCACATTTGGTGTCATTCAACCGACCTCGTATCTCTCACCGTTAAAAAGATACCCATGGTGAGCTTGGTAAGTGGGACACACTGTATATTCCGTCACTAGCTACAGAACCTACAATTATTCATTCCTTTTCAAGGCGTAAAGTGTGTTTTTTATACAAAGGTAGTTTTGGTTATTTCATGAGCTACTGGTCAATATAGACATAGTCACTACTATTGAAATCAAGCCAAATTCATTGTTCTGATGCAAGATTCGCAGGAATGTCACTCGAATCTAGTATATAAGTATTTATTAATAACGACTTGTCATATGCAGTCATGGTCATGGCTACTAGATTCCAATTATCAATGAAAAGTAGTTCTTTCATAGTGACAATAAGTCCATACTTCAGTTCCACAGAACTATATGGATTGAAATTTATTGCTAGTGATTAAAAAAATTCAATTCACTCTTTGGTATAGTGAAGAATGTTGATATTATCACGGGCTTCCTGAGTGATAATGATATTCCACTAGGAGAAATACTAATACTCGAAGTTGAATGACATGGTCACAAAGAGGAACACACTCATAGTCATTACCACATCAATTCATGAAATGAACGAAAATGGTAGGTAGATAACGTGGGAAAAACAACTACTTTCATGGCTATATGTCAAGCAGAACATTGAATTGCATACACCCGATATCTATGCAATTATTCGTAAAGACGAATACAGCTGCAAGTGATTCATTCCTGAATGCTGAGCTGTGCTCAAATTGTTCAGGAACGCTAGACTACCTTCAGACTGGTTTCCATATTGAGGCTCTAATCTGTGAAGGAGTGCCTCCAGGTGACTTCCTGACCACCATCTGGTGCAAACCTGACCCAACCTAAAAACATCTCTGCATTTAATACCCACGAGGCGTTCGGAATCTGCGAGATGGACACGAACGCCACCTAAGTAGAAGGAGAGAAACACTTCCTTTTTAGATAAAATAGGAGTGACTGGTTGCCCGACTTGCGTTTTCTCGACTTGGAAAAAGCCAAATACTGAAATTGTAATGACATTTCCTGGCAGTAGAAGGAACTCAAAGTCATTACATTTCTATCATTTTGAGAACCAAATTACAGAATCTCAACATGGTTTCATGAGAGGGAGATCAACTTCAACCAATTTATTCTGCTTAACACAAAGTATATGTAATGCATTTGATGAGGATGCACAAGTGGATGTTATCTACACAGACTTTTCTAAGGCTTTCGACAAACTTGATCACTTTCTTCTTCTTAGTAAATTACATAAATTTCAGCTGTCGCTTGATGTACTTGATTTTTTATCATCCTATTTAATTAACCGATCCCAATTTGTTGACTGCAGTGGACATAAGTCTGTGGAGTTTTCACCCACTTCGAGAGTCCCTCAGGGATCCGTATTAGGGCCATTACTTTTCATCATATTCGTCAATGATATAATACATGACATCAATGCGGATTGCCTGATATATGCAGATGATCTGGAATTATTCACCAGAATCACAGAACATAATGATTGTCTTTCTCTTCAGGAAGACCTGACAAACATTTATGACTGGTGTACACGAAATCGCTTGCTACTGAATGTTTCTAAATGTTGCATCGTTTCATTTTCCCTAAAACGCACTGTTACGCACTTCGATTACAATATCAACAACACCAGAACCTCTACTATACGTGACCTTGGTGTTACATTCGACCAGAAATTATCTTTTGCAGATCATATCCAACGAATCACGAAGGAGTCATTCAAGGCATTAGGATTTGTTATTCGAAATTCCGCTAACTTCAGAGATATCAGTACATATAAACAACTTTTTCTATCACTCATATAGAAACATTAAAGAGAGTTCAAAGGCGATTTCTGAAGTTTCTTGGTTTTAAAGAAGATGGGGCTTATCTCCACAATGGATATCCTGAGGTTGAACTCACTCGGAGGTTTGATATTAACCTATTAGTAAATCGCAGAATGATTGCACAACAGGTGTTTCTGTGGAAAATACTCCATGGGCACACTGATTGTGCAATATTCTTCACATTCTTGATTTTCACATTCCTAGGCTAACAAGTAGACAACATATTTCATTCCATCTACCAATTCCACGCTTGAATACGATGAAATTTTCACCACTGCATACCATATGCAAGATACATGACGAGCATGTATCGCATCAAATAGACATATTCTCCTGTAGTGTGGCATCAATAAAAAAGTTAAATTTTGGATAAAATTTTCAAATTTTTGATAACTCTCGTCAACTTTGTATCGTCATCAATATTTCATCTCAAACATTTGTACTTGTTATATTGTTGAATATTATGTATGTACTCATTATCCCTATTCTGTAATTGGATGTATATCTGTTGAGTAGTGTAAATAAAAAAAAAATAACCAGATTAGTTCATGAAATGAACGAAAATGGTAGATAACGGGGAAAAAACAACAACTTTCCTGGCTATATGCCACGCAGAACATTGAATTACATCCTCTCGTAAAAACGAAAACAGTTGCAAGTGAATGGAAGCTATCATAAACCTATACAACTATACTGGGTGATTCAAATCCGAGGACCACCATTGGGATCTCGGAAGCTACGAAGATGGTTGAATCAGGACAAAGTTGCGCCTTCAATCACATGTGATTCTAAAAGGTGTATATGCATGTCAATTCATGCAGACCTTGGCTCTGCCTTGCTTTAGGACGTGTCCTCGGTTTCAAGCAGGGCCTACTCTTAGGCCCTGTTTCAAGACACTAGGCAATAAATATTGTTCAAATCACACAAGATGAATTCCCACTAATTCGTTTCAGTCGAGATTGACGCAGTGGACGAGCGCCCGACTCATGGCCTCGAGGTCGTAGGTTCGAATCCTAGCCAGGACAAGGAATGTTTCTAATAAGAGTTGAGTTGAGTTTCAGAGCATCGGCTGGGGATAGTCCTGCACGATTCACTATTGCCTTCTTATTCACAGTGCTGCTTCTAAGTTGGCTTATGGAGTTAGTAACAAAGCCTGCACAGAACACACAATGCAGAATACTTTGGTCTAGTGGACCTCAATGGTGGTCGTTGACCAGTTGGTGTTCACACATATACCAACGAAGTGCATATACTACTACTATTTCAGCTATCAAAATAATCACAAATATTTATTGGAATGATAATGAAAGAAACAATTTTTCTGGTCGTTGTGATATAATTTGACATCACAAGTAGAGCGAAATGAGAACAATTTTTCATCTGAACGAAAATACAGGAGAGGTACTATTTCCCTTGTGTCTACAACGTGAGACCACCAACTTTCTGGCGAGAAATGAAATTATTCTTCGATAGATTTTTTATTTTTCCACTACTATGACATTTTCCAATGAGTTTTTCACTAATTTGCAGAAGAAATCTCACCTGCCATATTGAAATAGACGAAAAAATAGAATGAAACAGTTGATTAGAAAAGGCAGTATGACCATGTTCATTAGTCTGAAACAAATGTCTTCTCTTGCGAATAAGCTGAATGGTACGGGTTCCTATCAAGAAGAGGGACATTTGCGCATGCTCTTCAGAATGTGGCTACAATATAAATATACTAGGCGACTGAGTAGAAATTATTTGAGTTGTGTCTCCATAGTGCAACCACTAGTACACAATTCCTCAAACGACTTAGTAATCCTTCCACTCTGATCACGCACGAGCAGCACCCTAACCCTATGGGTACCACCAGCGAGATTACCTGTATCACCCTGTATAAAGGGCCTAGCCCTAGGAGATAGGTCACTGCGACGAACACCTCACATATCCTCTCATATTCCTTGGCTAACACCAGCCACCTCTGCGTCAGTGGAGGGACGTTCAGGCATACTCTATGATATGCCAAGCTCATCATACAAAAATATGTTGTTGTAATGTGTGAAACTCTGTCAATGAATAAATGAATTCAATACTAGTACACAAAGGGTTATGTGACTAAGAGTGTGCCGTCGAAAATATTCCAAGTATTTTCGCAAAAAGATTATGTTTGTAAAGTTATTTTAATTTTTTTCTGGCGTTATTTTCTCAAGATTACTTATTAGGAACTTATCAACTTGCCACTTCTTCCCCGATATACGATGACCTTTTCAGATTCCCTATTTGACGCCACGCCACCATCATCAACTTTCTTATTTTTTATGACCCAATATTGGATTTACATAAATAACCATCGATTCACAGGAGGAAAGTGGAAATGCAACTGAGATCTCAATTTTGATAACCTCCAACAAAAAATGCCCGAAAAAAATTATGTTATTTACCAAAATTTCTGATTTACTGGGAATTTGAGTCAAAGTCACATAAAAGTCACATAAATGCGCAACTTTGCACTAATTTGACCATCTTCGTATCTCCTATAATTAAATGAAAATTTGAGTTATTCAAATCATGTTGATGGAGTTTATGCACGTTTCTCTCATTCAACATGAATCTGGTATCATTTTCAGATGTTATATTGACCAATGTGGTGCATGATCATGTTCAATTATCATAAGATTATATGAACTTGAAATATTGTTCGGAGGGTTGGCAAAACCCATCCAAGATGTCTATGAGTTGATAGACATATAACTTGGTTCTTATTTGAACATTCTCAAAAATCTATGAGTATAAGTAAACATGAAAATTACTATGGATAACTTCTTTCTCGAAATATGATCTCAGTTTCTTGTAGTTGATATAAGTAGAAGATCCGAATACTCACATGTCATTCCTGAATATTTCCGATCTATCCAGCATATTGAAGGTATAACAAATACCTTCATCAGTGATAATAGGTTTGAAAAGCCTGGAACAATCGAATATATCACCCATATATTCACAAGATTGAAAAGGATCGTTACCAAAGTTGACCTGGAATGAGGTAAAGGGTGAAAGTCATAGTTTAGTGATATCAGTTTAGTGGTTCAAATTCGGTGACCAGGGTGGCCACGAAATGGTATCAAGATGGCCGATCCATCTCCGTGGATATGTTTCTGATGGGCTATATGCGAAACTAAGGATGAATCTGTTGTATTTTTTTTCAGTTTATTTTTCAATACTCTCAATTTCTCATTCATCGTTTCGATTTTCTAAATGTTTCAATTTGTAGTTTTGTATATTTGTTAATCTTTTGGCAGCCGGCTCTTCTAGTAAGCATTACTCACCTTCTGAAAATGTTCATAAACTTCTTCTGTGAAAGTATATTTATTCGAATATTCCATATTACGATTCTTGTCACATATCAATCCCATATAATCTAATACATTCCTCCTGGAAAGACAGAGATATAATTGCCAATATATTATGATCTAAGTAGCTATGCACAGAGCGCAACAAATAAAATGTTCAGTTCAAAAGTGCCCTTATAATATTTCCAATAACGTGGGGGTCGTGTGGATCATCTCTTATTTCTCCGCAAGCGCTATTAACGCGTTCCAGAAGGTCTTCTCTTGTATCACCTGTATGTTTGTAAATACACTGTATAACTATGACTTGAAGTGCCCCATACAAAATAATCAGCTCGTGAAAAGTAGGTCATCAAAATCTCGCACAAGATAACTTGAGTTCTTCCTACTCTGATTTCAATTTCTATTCAAATTCAATTGATAATAGTATGGATAGATTGTACAGAAGGGTTCAGAAGTAACTATATGGTGACGTTAGCTGTTTCTCTGAGACCTCGGGGTCTGCTGACCGAGATCACAAATGTGCGGCTGGCTTTTGTTTGTTGACTCCGTTTATTTGTTTTTTCGTTCTCTACCAAGTGCTGCCTATCCGTTGCACTTCCTTTCACCGTACTGATGAGGGCCAAAAGCCCGAAACACACACACACACGTATACACGGTTATCTCTTTGTGGAGTCATTGAATAAATCACAGCATTAATATGCAGTATGATTATATAAAGTGGCCGAACACTTTTATACTCACTCATCATCTGTAATATTTACACCATCTATAACTTTTCTCAGCATGCCAGTATGACTATAAAGTGCCTGAACACTTTTCGATTCTGGACAGATGGTCACAGCCGGAAATGGTATGGAGTAAGTAGGAGTCTCTTTGGTAGCGAAACTCACGATGACTGGGCTTCGCAACCATTTTTGATACACTTCTCGTATACAAAATATGCAGGTTGCCAGAGTTATGCTGAATATCAGGAACCACCATACCCTATGAAAATTGTAAAGCATTATCGTCGTATATGGTAGGGATTTTGGATGGTTCTAAATTCGATGATCAGATAAAAAAATGAAAAAATAATATAAACTATAGGCAACACTAATTTCGTCGCACTCCAAAATTTTGCCTCTGTTGAAATATGAATAATTTTGTTCTGCTTTGAACGATTTGAATTTAGATTATACTGTTCGCTAGCCCAGTCCTTCAGCTATAATCTCGTACTTATATAGCACTGCTCGCCAACAGCCATGGAACCACTCAGAAAAATGATATAAGGAGGCAAGGTAGGTTGGGAATCACTTCGGATTCGGAATCATCAGGACTTCCCTTTCGCTTCCTCCTGCAAATTTCAGAACCCTACCTCAATAATTATGTGAGATGCGGGGGTGCTTCCATGAGTAGTGAGACAAAATTCAATTCTCCAAAATTTTCCAGGATTACTTTGTATAGGCAGTGAATTGGACGTCCTGATCCCGAATCCGAAGTGATTTTCAACCTATCTTGGCTTCTAATAACATTTTCCGGAAATTTGGGTGGTTCCATGGCTGTTGGCGAGCAGTGTATATCACTGGAGATGACTCCACGTGGTCATAGTGTTTATTTTCAGGATATCTCCCGCTCCTGATAATTCCGAAATTTTTCACTGTTCCAGGTGACACCCTGTAGCTATTTTATATGAAGAACCTCATGTTTTAAAACGAGATTATAGCTGAAAGAGTGGGCTAGCGAACAGTGTAATCCGAATTCAAATCATTCAAAGCATAAAAAAAATATTCATATTTTAACAGGGACAAAATTTTGGGATGCGACGAAATTAATGTTGCGTAGTTTAGTAGATATATGTATACAACAATTTTGCATCTCTCGCCATAGTAGATAGTAGCCTACGGCACGAATAAACAATGTCATTCGACGAAATTATTTGGCACCAGCTGTCCTAACAATCACTGAATATTTTCGGTAAAATAGTACTTGTGGTATTGTATATGAAAAAATCGAGTTACAGAATGAATTGGTAGAGCAACTCAACTTAAGCGATTTCCATCAAAACTATATGCAAACAAACAGTCATGTCAATCCTTCACAGACTCCACGCTGCGATTATATTTCTGATGGAAGTTACCCAAGAGAAGGAGCATATTTTTAAAAAACATCGATTTTCATACCGTGCTGAAATCTTTACACCTCAACAGCTTCTCATCTTCGAAAAACACAGATACAGCCTGTTATAGAATACTGTTTCCACATACGGGGTTCATCACCCAAATATACGCTGATGTTCTTAGTTTCCATCCAGAGAAGGGCCATTCGCCTGGTAGGTGATGCCACAATCTCTAATGCTCTGACATCATTGGAATTCCGTCGAAAAGTCGTCGATTTTTCGAATTTCTATATATACCGCCTCGGAAATGTTCTTCAGATATATCTGCTTTCACTAGCAATACCAGCCAGATGAACTCGACAAGCCCAGTCAGCACATTCTTCCGTTGTCAACATTGGAATAATAATATGTCAAACAACACTTTATCAAAACCCGTTTGTCTATGGATCGGCAAAGCTTTGGAGTTCTTTGCCAAATGACTTATTTTCGAGAACTTATAGTCTCCAGGAGTTCTAAAAAAGTCCAAGAGCCACTTCCTGTCCCTATCCTTCCTATAGACTCGCACAATGTGGTTTCCATTCTTTCGCTCCATGAGATAAAGAAAAAAATGGTAATATTCATGAGAAATCTGACACACCTTGCCTAGATACCTTGAAGAATAGTTGATTATTTTATCAGGCAGAGGAGAGTAGTAGATTGACTGCCGCGGTTGATAGTTCATAGCCGAGCGTAGCGAAGCTATAAATTAAGCCAAGGCAAGCAGTCTCCATTTACTGCCGTGTGAAACATATAGTATATTCTTCGATGTTATAGAACCAATTTCGTGTGATTTCTTTATTGAAAACTCCATCATTTTGTGTACACCTTTTCTGGCTGTTGAGTGTCAGAGAAAAGCCTATTTTCCTGCCGCTCGGGGAAAAATATATTGCTTTCACGCACTTCCAAGAGCTTTACAACAAATTTTACTGAGGGATAAATACCTCTTAGTCACTTATTTTTCGGTGAACGAAACCGAAGATTATATTTTCATCTTCAGAATGTAACGAAAAATATTTCACGAACATTTATTATTTATATATTCCTGGGACATTTCCGAAAATCAACATTCTAATATACCAAAAAAAATATATCCTCAAATTCATGAAATTCTGTAGATATATTAGTTCAACGTCAGCAGCAAGCAGCATATTCCATATATACAAGATGTTTCCAAATCTATTCAGTAACACAAACCTTTCAAAAATCGTCCTCTTCTCTCCAAAATATCTGAATCCATGGATGCTCGTACAATTGCAATATTCTCTGAAGTAATTTCGAACACTTTTGAAAAACGGTCGGCTTTGTGGCTCTTCCTCACATTTCACAATATCTCCCATTTCTCCCAGAAAGATATCCGTGACGTGCCGAAGCGTAAACAAATGTGCTATACTTAATCATCAATTTTCCATCAGGTTTTCAGTGTGTCGTGTCATGTTAATAATGGCTAATAGCCTTATCTGATGGATCCTTCGAATAATTAGGTGATGTATCTGGGAATGGCCATCGACCAAGATACAGGGTGTGCCTTCAATAGGACTCTTGTAAAAAGGCGCTGAACAAACATAACGCGAGAACGACATTTTATTATTAACATTAACACATTTTTATTAGCTTAGTTTGTATGCACAGATGGAAAGGATTTCTCGATTCAATGCGGAACAGCATTGATTCATCCATATAGCGCTCTTGAATAGGTCTAACCAAATATTTGTTTGATTTTTCTACAGAACTATTTCACTTTCAGTCAGCTGCTTATGATCTATAAGGCACAGATCCGACCCGTCCTGGAAAACTGTTCCCATAGTTGGAGTGGAGCACCCAAAAAAGGGCAATTCGTCTCGTGGGTGATGCCTCACTCACAAACTCACTCACTTCTCTGGAACACCGTAGAAAAGTTGGCGATCTGGCTCTATTTTATCGATATTTTCATGGACGATGCTTTTCTGAAATATCAATAATTGTACCTTCCTTGGCAGTCCCCGCGAGATTAACCCGTCGAGTTGAGGCTTCGCGCCCCTTCGTGGTCACTTTGGAGACCTGCAGAACATCTCTTTCCAAAGTCCAAAGTCACTTGTAGTCGCGGCTTTCTTGAATGAAGAACTATACTGTTTATGTTGAGAAAATTCATATCAAGAACTTTCAACGAACGAAGCAAGCGAGCCGATTGATTTGAGACAAAAGTATATAGCTCCGTTCAAGTTAATTTCTAGAAAATAGATTTGTTTGATTGAAGAAATCCGTTTTATCTGTGTGTAACGAGGAATCTTCGAACGTGAGTTTGACCAACTTAAAAACGTTGAATCGAATTGTAACCTCGCACACTACTCGAGACTGAATGACAAAAGCATAATATACTAGTTTGGTTTCATTATCCTCATCAGGATCTTCAGGATGACAGATTTATTTCTCGAATAAAATGGTGAGTTATGTTTCGCCGCCAAAATTTGAAATGCTCCTTCACCAAAATTCCGAATGTTCGTGTTTATTCTTTCGAATACCTCTACTATGTTTTTTTATTATACAGTGTGTGCTATTTCGACCCTCAACACCCTTCTTATCTGGAAACTGCCTACCGATTCACAATAATAAGAATTCCATAATACAGTACTTAACTAGTTCTATTCGTGAATGTGAACAAATTTGAAATATTCAGATTTTCAAGGCCTATTTCTGTTTGTTGAAGGGGTCTAAATTTCAAAAATTGTGACTAGCCTATTCGATTCAGGCATAGCTGAAATACCTCCATAAGGAATTTGTACGCAAATACCCATATAGGGTGTTAGTTATTTCATGGCAAACTTTGATATTTGTGATTTTTCGATTTACCCTGTATCAAAATCTAAGAAGTTGATATAACCATTGGAGTAGTCATTCAATGAAGAAACACGTTGAATACTAAGATACAAAGTTACATAGTTTTTTCTACAGGAAGATCTCTCTAGGTCCACCAAAAATTAATGAAATTGTAGTTGAGAAACTTTTCATTATGCTCCATATCTTTGTTCCTGGAAATATAAATTATGGTGAATAATTCAAGAAGATATTCTCTAGAGGTACCTAACAATATCCATTGTCATCCCAAATTTTCATTTCATTTCTCCAAAATCGGTATGTTATTATGATCAGTTGTAATGAATATGGGTTTGCACAATGAAGTTCAGTACAGAGAACACTACCAATGAGTATATCTATATTCTTCCTAAATTTGACAATCTAAAATAGAGATAGTCTTAACATGATGCTGACTACAATAACATAGAAAGAGTAACTTATCTAATACCAGGTCCAATTGCGTTACGCAGATAGTATCGTATGAATCTGTATATCAATCACACCACTAGGCTGTCAAATATATCTTATGAAAGAGAATATGATTTCTGAAAACAATTTCATGCAGCCGTAAATAACGTCTACCATAACAACAATCTGGAAATCTGGACAGAATGTTAATTTATTTTATTGATAGACCGTATGTTCTAGTATTCTGCTACACAGTATATCTCCTTGAAGTTTTTGGAGAGTGTTTGTCTGGCATCCTATTTGTGTCATATTCGACAGCTTGGTTCATATCAAGAGAGACAGTAGTGTCCTGCACCAAGTTCTCGAATGAAATGAAGTTTCCGGAGAGGAAGCCTGATAAACGGTCACAACATCTAAGGAAGGCAACATGCGCGTAAAGGACCCCGCACATTTAGTACGGAGATTGGCTTTCGGCTCATTTTTCTGAAAATTTGATATGTTTCAGATATTAGCGTCCTTATTACACAGTCCAATAAACAGATCGATCCTTTAACCAGTTTTCGAGCTACAAGGTGTCAATAATTTGATTTTTGCTCTTTAGAATATTTTGCATCGATTTGAATTATGTGCTTTGAATCGTGATAAATCTTCAGTAGAAAAAAACGCTCCACGTCTAATAGGAATAGATAATAATATCACATGCAAGGCACTGCATTCATCATGACAAGATAATATTCATAGGAATAGACAAATAATATTGAAAATATCAGAATTTCGATTTTTACTCAATCACTGGAAACTTGAAAACAAACGGCTAAAATCATTCAATTATCTGACACACTATGGATTCTGATCATCAACATGAGGATTCATATGATTTCCTCTGATACAATGTCCGGTTTGCCATATATAAGGTGATGACAATTTGAAAGCTTAGAAGTGATGTAACTCATGTACAAAATGAGATACATATCATGAATGGTGCATAACTGATTATATGAGATAAAATAATATATATAAAATGGACAATGACATTTCTTATGTCCACCCAGTCCGAGATATGAATAATACCACTGGAATGCATTTTCAGCGAGCTATTCAATGAGGTATCACAAAAAGGGGATTCAAATGCGTTGGGGTGTTTGTGACTCAGGGGGTTGGTGGGGGTATTTCATGAGACTTTTCATTTTCCACTCTATATATTTGTTGTATATAAACTTTGGACGGACTGAATAAATCACCGACTTATTTATCACTCACAGCTTTATTCAGTTTTACAGTAGACGCCATTTACAACATCTCTCTAACTCGACATGCCAGTGTCTAATGCCCCGACTAACGTCTATCCTACTTCCTAACATGAGTTATATGGAACATCAATACATGAAATCCTATCGCCAGTTCACAGAACACAATTATTACAAGATGCCTACCTTGTGAGCTTGAACAATATAGTGGGGAGTTTTAAATAACTATTTCTAAATGGTACCCTATTACAAATTTACAAATTCAACCTAACTGGGTTTTTTATATTCCTAGATGATCGACGGATGGGTGGTTCGAGTGAGACTCTATTACGAGAAGGAACATTTTTAGGACTAGTATGAATAATTGTTTCAGGAGTCAAGGAAGTCTGATCCTCTCTGGGCCCTTCTGTGATTTCTGGTCTCAAACTGATGTCTTCACTTTGTTTTTGTGGCATGTTTACTTCTGTCAATGATGATGGTACATCGAGTGACGGAGGGGAATTGCTCGTCATTCCTAGCACTGTTGGTCTCATATTATCTGCATGAAGAAATCTTACTCTTCCAGAACACAGGACTAAATAAGTGCAACTACTTATCGCTTTCATAACTTTGCCTCGTACCCATTTTCTTTCTTGATCTACATAAACCAAGACTATTTCTCCTTATGTGTAGAACTGTAGTTCTCGTCCTTTACTATTTTCCCTTTTCAAAACTCGATCCTGATTCTGTATTTCTCTTTTTCTCTCCAAATTGCATGGTTTTAGCATAGTTATCTTTGTTCTTGGAGCTTGTGTAGACATTATTTGAGATGGACATTTTTGTGTAGTAGTTAGTAGATGTAGGTGTGTTTCTATAATTAAATAAAGAATTGTCTAATCGGGGTTGTAGTGTTAAGTTCAAGCTATTCTGAGTATTATCAAATAGCTGTTTTTTTAGGTTATTCTTTAGTGTGCTAACATTTTTCTCAACTAACCCGTTTGATCTTGGGTGGTATGGCGGAGAGTGCATCAAGTGAATTCCATTTGCCTTGCAAAAAACTTGGAACTCTTCACTAGAAAATGGAGGGCCATTGTCGGCAACTTAAGTTTCCATGTCAATGTTCGGTAATATCGAAAACCTGAAACTAGGAACGACAGATCTAAAATCATATCTCGAAAGAATGGATTTGTTCCAAACTCACAAGACTTTGATAAATTCTTGAGTTTGACTATGAAATCACTGATTGACTCATCAGGTTTCTGACTACATTGATGAAATATATCTCTCTGCTATGGCTATTTCAGCAGGACTGGAGTATCCCTTCAGAATATCTTTGACTTCATCATATGTTTTAGCATTAGGAAGGTCTCGTGAGACTAGATCCTTGAGAGTTGCCTAAGCATCTGAACCAATTGAGGTCAAAAATACCTTCTTATCATCTGCTATACTGTTGCAAATGAAGAACAAATCCATTCTTTCGAGATATGATTTTAGATCTGTCGTTCCTGGTTTCAGGTTTTCGATATCACCGAACATTGACATGGCCATTGTAAAACTTGGGAAGGCGGGACTGGTTAGTGGTTTTGGACACGATGACTACCTATGACTGCTTTTACTGAATGAGCAATACGGATGTTTGACTTCGATACTGACTTGTTTTCTCGTCGCCAAATATGTTGTATATCTACTTTAGATGGACTGAATAAATCACCGACTTATTTATTACTCACAGGTTTATTCAGTTTTACAGTAGACGACATTTTACAACATCTCTCAAACTCGACATTCCAGTGTCTAATGCCCCGACTAACGTCTATCCTACTTCCTACCATGAGTAACATGGAACATCAATACATGAAATCCTATCGCCAGTTCACAGAACACAATTATTACAACAATATTATACGAACAGTTATGAACCATGTGTTTGTAGTTGTTGTGTATTTGATTTATAATCAACTAACATCGAAC